TTGTCTGCGAAATATAGGCGGGCGAATATGTTTTTGGTAAATTTACGGATTCACCGCGAGAACCGATATTGCTGTCTGACTCTCTCTTAGATGAATTCTCATTATCAAGCGTTCCAAAATCTCTGAGAAAACCAAATTCACATTTGTCGTTATTGGCAATGGTCTGCTTTACATTACTCTCATGAATTCGATTTATCTAATTCTCATGTATGAAGAAATTAAATATAAGATTTTGCTAAATTAAAAGGTGGATTGTTGGCATAAGTCCGGAATTAGACCATATGAACATATGGTTTGCCAAACTCCTCTATTTCGGCTTTGGACGTAAGCATATATTCCTAGAATTATCATTCCCTGAAATTAGCCTTACTAAAAAAAATTTTCATCAAAGGGGTATTACTGAATACCTATTTCGCAACACTGAAATGTTAGACGAAGCCATCCAATCGGCATTGTACAGCAAAGATATTAGAGCAGATGACATGGAATTCTATAGTGCATCTAAAGGATGGTCGGAGTGTATTGAAATTGGTAATATGGTGGCATACCAAAAACGATTCGAGGACACTGCAAAGTTTTTCGAACCCAGGTATTATTAGTTGCTAGTCTATTATGTACTTGGTGATGCACAAGACTATAATGAAATTAATACTGTCATGTTAGGTTTTCTGTAAGCAATGAGATTGGTTCGAGGATGATAAATGTCATCTTGAATAAGACGATTAATTAATTATATAGGTATGTTAATTGTAAATAGTTGGAAAATAATAACTTGGATCTTTATCACATTTATGGAATACATATATAGATTAACCCTGATTTATACACAATTTGAGTTTGCAAGACCTGATAAATGTCATAAAAATCTCCGAGTATACAACTCAATGGATCTGAAAATTTAATGGTGTTTAAATTATATTTTATTTCTTAAAAGACTTATCTTCAATTATGTAAATAATATATAATGTAAAGGTTTATCTTTAATTATGTAATAATATATCATGTATTATATTTCTATGATATATTAATAAATACTGTAAATACTGATGAATTGGATTATAAAATTTTTTTGAAATATTTGTTTGTTTTTTTAATTAATAAGAGAATTAAGAAAAAAAAAGAGTTTTAAAAAATAATCAATATAAAAATAATTTATATTTTATTATTATAACTTTAAGTTTATTCAATTTTTTTTTTTTTTTTTTTGTCACAAATAGGCATTAAATGTGGGGCTTTATTATATACATGTGGTAGAAATTGGTAGATCTTTGACGCAATTGACGCAATTATTTGACGCAATTAATTGAGTCACTATTAAAACATATAAAATAATTGAGTCAGACGCAATTATTTTTGAGGATTTTGGCAATTGAGTCAACAGCAAAATAATTTACACCACATGTATACTTTATTAAACATATGTTTGTTGCCATTATATTAATAGTCTTTGTAATCTATAAATTAACTATAGCCTATTGTAAATCTTATTCAAATATCAACTTTACACCTCATGGGTGAAGTCCATACTTAGATTTATACTATATCTTCCTATTTATAAATATAGGATAAGAAAAATCCTGTTCAACAGTTGAAAAACCTTCCCAACAGTTTTTTTTTTGGTTTTTATGACCCTACTCTTTCCCACGAATGGGTCACCAATCTGGATTGTGCTAACATCAAGCAGGATAGTGGGGTCCAATTTAAATTTCGAAGTCTGCCGATCCAATTTGGGGTACTAGCTAATTGGGTGCGACTTATTCAGGAAGCCAACCAACCTGAATAGGAAGTTGGTGCTACGGAGTCTGCCGTGCCAGAGGGTTGTGAGTTTTTACCGGAGTTAGACCAGAAATCTTTCCTCATGTAACCTTTCTTGCTTTGATCTGTTTTCAGCCTACGATCGTCAGAAAGATCAGAGGTCCCATTTTCATGCAGCCTAACTAAATTTGGTCAAGATCTGGATGTTTGGGTACGACATTTGTAAAAAAACCAGTAAACTTACAAATGAAGAATAATTTTTTTGTGTATTTGTTTTCTATAGATATTGAACTAGGGATATGCATTTAAAAACCTGGGAGCACTATCCACTATACTATGGACCCACAGGTCAAGTTTATTTAATTTTTAAATTTAATTAATTAATTTATCAATATAATATAAATTTTATTATATCGTTTGATAAATTTTTTCTTTTTTAAAAAAATATTTAATTATATAATATTGTTATTAAAAATTTTTGATATTTTTTATTAACTTTGACAATATTTTACAATATTTTATTATAATTTATTTGTTTATATATATATATATAATATATTACTATATAATATAGTATAATATTATTTTTTAAAAAATTCATAAAATATTTATATAATTTCAAAAACTGCTCTTACAAAATATTGTAGTTCAAAATTCAAATATAAAGTTTTTAATGGTTTTATTTATTTTTTTTTTTTTTAGTAGGTAAACATCATTTCTTTATTTAATTTGTATAGTGGTGTATATACATTATGAAAGAAACAACATCTCTCATGTGTAACAAGACAATAAGTTAAATGCTAGCTTGCCTACAGTAACCACTTAACTAGTATTGAAAATAAATTTTAAAACAACACATCTTGTCAAGTGGCTCCGAGCGGCTATGAATACCTACTCAGCATTTTGTGAAAGGAAGTTAGAATAATCGGTTATTAATTTAGAAATACATTTAGAGAAGTTGAATTTGCTTTGAATGTAGAAGTCTGCTACTGTGGTTGGTAAATCAGTGATGATTAGATCTTGATGGGCAGATGAAGGGGAAACTTTTTCATCTTCTATAATGTTTAAATAAAAAAATTATTAAAGAAAAAATCAAGGCATCGTCTAAAAAGTATATTAGCAATTTCATTTTTATACTTATTTAGATCTTTCTGATAAAAAAGATACTAAACAATATAGATAAATAAATAAAATTATTTAAATTATTTTAGATATCACTTGATAATAATTTATTCTAATATCAAAAATATATTAATTAAATTTAATTTTATTTATAATATATTAATTAAATTAATTATGAAATTAAATTTTAATTTTTTTTGTTATAATTATAAAATTGATTTTATTTTTTAATTAATTTTAATTTTAACTTATTTAATTAATAATACAATTAATTTCTAATTGTTTAATTATATGCTTTTAATTTAATATTATTAATTTAATATTTGCAGTTCAATATTAGTATTTTTAAGTTTTATATTAATAATTACTGCTATAGATATATTAATTAATAATTTATAAAATTGAATTCAGTTATATTCATAAGATTGAATCCTACTTTACCTTATTTATGTGAAATTGAAATCAACCTTAATTTATTAAAATAAGGTTGAGGTCAATTTTATTTCATTTATATAAAGTTGAACTTACTCTTATATTGTTCAAATAAAATTAAGCTTAATTTTATACCATTTAAGTAAAGTTGAACTTAACTTATAAGATTAATAATCTTATTAACAAAAATTTTCTCACTTGTTATAATATTTAAATAAAAATTATTCACTTTATCTTTATATTAAATCTCATAAGGTTTATAATAGAATATATATTCTTTAAAAGAAAAACAAAATATTATTTAAAAAGTACAGTATATTAATAACTTTATTTTTATACTTGTTTAAATCTTTCTAATAAAGAATATAAAAAACAATATAGATATATACTATTATATAATGCATTGTTTTATTATTATTACTAATTGACTAAAGAAATTAAAAAATATTTATATAAAAAATTAAATTCTTTTTGTTTAATAATAAAGTATATAAGATTTATATATAAGTTATTTATATTTATTAATATAATTTTAAATATTAATTGCTTTACAGTTTTCCTTACACCTAATATAAAACTTTTCTTTATTATATAATTCAAACTATTTCTAAAAGATTCTATATTAATTATTCTTCAAGTTTTCAAATAATATTTGATTCTTTTTTAATTAAAATATGATAATTAGTATTAATATTACTTAAAAAATGTTTATAACTTAATTGTAGCCTGATATATTTTTATTTAAGTTTTTATATACAGAGAGACCTCCCTAAATGCACCCTCTATAAATGCACTACTATATTTTCTCTCTCTAAATATACAGTCAAGCTTGGTCCCAAGTATATAGAACTCTTAATAAAATTATCTCCATAAATGCACACTCTCTATAAATTCATATTTTTCAAAAATTTTTTTATGGTCCCGAGGGGTGTGTATTTAGAGAGAGTTCACTATAATTCTATTCACATATAATCCAGTCCATTACCAATTATATTGTAATATTTTCCAAAATCAAATTTTATTTTAAATAATATGTTTTTATTTTAATAGTTTTATATTAAAATATTATAAATCTTTATTAAAATATTTTTTAAAATTTAAGAGTAAAATGATATAAAATTTTAAATAATATATTATACTGTATATAATTTTAAAACAAATTTTTTATGTCATATAAAAAAAAAGATATTCATATACGTACAGTCTGGTGCAAAAGTCTTTAGACTTCTATTTTAGCTTATATTTCAATAATCTATTAATAATATAATATAATAATATATTCTTTATTTATTTAAAGAT